CCAGATTGAGTCCCGAGAGTTGGTTTTCCGAGATCCTGGTGTCGAGACCTTTGATAGAACCTTTTTATTCAGCACAGTAGATTCCAAATTGTATCAGCTGTTCAAATCGTTTTTCACATTTGTTCTGGCTGATATGTCCGACGAGCAAAATAGAAGATAAAGGTAGCGAATAGTTTTTGGAGCCATTGTAGGTTAAAGCGACGCAGTATTTAATATCCAAACACCGCTGCTAAGTTTAATTAAGTTTCTTATTAACACATGTTGTACCGTTTCACGGCGCATCGAGTAATGTGTGAATGTTCAGAGATTATCTTTAGTTTCATAGAAAAAAGTAATCAAGACCTCTCTTGACGTATCCGCGACTAATGGAAAAGTCTAGTATTAAGGTCATAAAACCTGCTGCCAGACTTCGTTAACCTTTCCATTAATACATCTTATAAAGCTTTTTACGGCGTATCGAATGATGTATTGCACTTGGCTTAATGTTGAATGATTACGGAGAAATTTTGATTTTACAGTTATACTGTTGGTGCCAAATCGTTACTTGTTTTTGAGTAGGTTCTGTCTGGTATATTCGACTGAAAGACCTCGGAAGGGGGGAATCATCGAATATGATGATCGGATGTGATTCTGATGGGTTTCGTAGCGATTAAAGGGACCAAAGTTAGTGGGCCGATTTCACGTCTTATGTGGACTCCACCTTTTATTTTTCGAAGGTTTTCTCGATTTTCTCGGCGTACGCACAAATTGTCTCTTAAAAATGAATCTAGCCTATTCCGACGCCTACACTCCGAGTCGTGTCAATCGGTGACGATTTTAAACATGTACATAAAATTAATAAATGAGTATAAAAAATCTACAAAAAATTGTTTAGAATTTTATAAAAACTAAAAAGTACCATCGATTTTCCATAGAAACACTATTGATTATTTATTTTCTTCAGATTCGTCGACAATTTTGAAAAAAGCTATTTTTCTAATTTCTTCAAAGTTGTCGAGGTATCTGAAGAAAATAAATAATCAATAGTGTTTCTATGGAAAATCGATGGTACTTTTTAGTTTTTATAAAATTCTGGACAATTTTTTGTAGATTTTATATATTCAATTATTAACTATATGTACATCTTAAAAATCAACGAAATTTGTACTGTAGAGTAATCATGTAATAGATCAAAGAAAGCGCGTTCTGCACTAACTAAAAATAAGTGTGTGGGCCATAAAACGTCGACAAACATGAAAGAAAATGGCTCACCAGCTAGAAATCTTCTTTATATAGTGACTAATTAGAAATATATGCACACAATAAATAGCTCATGCATACTTTCTCTTGCGTTTTGGATGCTTTTATCAGCTCCGATTACACCATAATTTACTCGGACTTTTTTTCAAGACCATAATCAAGTCACTAAAAGGAACAAGTTTTCGGACACGAAAATCACTCTCGGAAGAGCTTATCTTCCCACCGTTGGGATTCTGATTTCAACATGTTTTATCTTCAGGAATATGCTGTTACTCACTTTAAGATAAATTAAATTGAGCTGCGCGAAATAACTATGCAATTTTATTTGTTCATCTACTCTGATCTTTCTTACCCTCTTCTGACATTTCTAAAAAAAATTTATCAGTATTTATAAGAAAGTTTCAATGTCAGAGCTTTTTTCTTCTCCTTTCCTTTTCACACAGATGAATATTCTATTTAGTGTACAGAACTGAGCGGATGAAGATAGTCTACTTTAGTGACAACTTCGATCAAACCTCTTAACTCTCTCTCTTTCAGTTGCATCCGTGTGTGATCAGAATGAATGTTAAATATAGCCAGGTGATAGAGCCTTCAAATGCTATAAAAGAACAAATATATACAAAAAAAACTCTTATGATAACGTAGTAAAAAGAATGGATGTGATGCTTTTTATCAACGCAAACATATATCTGACTTCAAAACATAGATAGCTTTTCTGTTCTGTGATGTAATCTCTCTCTGAAAAATACGTGCTGTCTAATCTCGTTCCATCATCTCGATACTACTTGTATCATTCTCTGTCTCTATCACACATGTCTCTCTGTAACATCTCTCTATAACTCATCATACAGTATACAGGCTTTGGTCATTGATCAAGGATATAAGCTGTATGGGTTGAGCAGTGGGGTAGAACACACTATAGCAACGCACAGGATGGAGATGAGAACACCTCAGAGTTTACTTTTGGACAATTTAGTCCAAAAGTAAATTCTTTGCATTGAATTCAAAGTTTAAGTGTTCGATTCTATCAACTGTGTAGTGTTCTTTTGTGTTTTGCTTCTTTCTGTTCTATCCTTATCTCTTGCAATCAACCAATCTGACTCATGAGGCAAAGCTTTGAAGGTTATTCTTCATAATAAAAGTAAAGATGAAAAAGAGCAAGAGAACTTTACTAATTGAAAATGAATATTTATAGATTACGCGAGGGTGGACCAGCAAACATACATAACTTCTCTCAAAAATACAACACATGACGTCTATATTCAGTCGAAAACAGTCCTGTTGTAACCAGTAGATTTCATTTACTATGAAGATATTCGTTTTTATATCAACAGTTTGATTTCTAAAAAAGAAATGAAGTAATGAGTATGGTGCGCATTACTGTAAAGCAGTTTTCGTGGTGCTCCAGGGGTTCTAAAATAAACTTTTTTGCGCTCAGTTTGTAGAGAATTGAATGCTATGTTATGCAGGATTGGAGATCTAGTCAAATGTTATTTATGTACTGAAAAATTGGTTTTATTTGAAAATTTTCGATTTTAGAAATATTAGTTTTTTTACTTGTTTGACTTTTAAAAGCTTCAATTTCGATACTAAAAATTTAAAAGAAATCTCTACAAACTGAGCGCAAATAAAGTGTTTATCTGTTTCGTAATAAAGCAATATTTTCCATGTCTGCGCGGGTTAATGCGTTCCAGGGTTAATCTAGTTTTCCGAGAAGCACGGGTCAATTCGCTTAGTTTTATATCTTACGTGCGTTTTACCCAAAATCGATCACTGTAGTACTCTTTATGCTTCTAAACTCGCCACACATCTTAAACCATTAGAGGCAGCTCAACGTTTAGCAAGTCGTATTATTACCAGAAACTTCAATTACAAAACTGCTAGTCTATCTTTCGTCAATAATCTACAGTTATCCGATCTCAAAGCCAGACGCCAGTACTTTCGACTCATACCATTTTATGAAATTTACAATAATTTGACTCTTCTCGAATCTCAAGATTACCTGATTAAATTGACTTCTAGGTCTCTTCGATCATCGCACTCTTATATAGTCGATATTTTGTCACATTACAATTTCACTGACGAAGACTTCATCGAAGTCGGAACTGTTACAAATAATTTGATAAATTATAAATAAATCACAGGAAGAGCAAAAAATTTCAATTTCAATTTCAATGATCTTTCTCAAACGTTACTTCACCAAAATAGGCAAAAAGCCCCTTTAGCGTTGTATATCCTTTAAAATCTTGTTTGAATTTCAATGTTCAAATATTACACCTATTGAAAACAGTGCCTGTCAGTTTTGATTATTACCTGTGAAAGTATTTTTCAAATAACTCGGTTAAAAATGCGCAAAACAAATACGTGTTTATGGCACAATTCAATAATGGTAAAATGAGGTATTCAAACTACTTGCAACAGAAGGAATAATCAAAATACAGTCCGTTATACAGTACATTATCAGCTATGATGAACAAAGAGTAAACAAAATCTTTATTTTCTTCTACTTATTGAAGAGAAAAAGCCAAAAAGTCAGATGAATACACAAACGTTTTCCACAGAAATGACCCATTACCGTAGAATAAGGCACGAGAATGGACTGATTCTAGATCTTAGGTGCTAGCTTCTTTTCGGGGCAATAGAAAGAGTGCTTTATCAGTGGAATAAAATAACAGATCCCCTTCTTCAACCAACCGTATCGCAACCTACTGATCAGACAGCTCTTGAAGTTTCCACATGTTCTCTTAACCGATGTCCACTGACTGTTTGCACTGTTATCTGCTTTTCTCCGCATAGAATCTTTTAAGAGCCGTTCTGGAATGTTCGTTATCTACTTTGTTATGGTTTAATAACTCGGAGTTAGCCCTAACAAGGGGAGCAAATTTTTCCAACCGTAAGTTTTCCAACGCTTTATCGCGCTCCTGATCCACGTTTTCATATTCCGTTCCAATCGCTTTACAAAATCCTTCAATAAGCTTGTTACCACTCGTCATATTCGTGTAACTATCGTACAATTCTTCGATCAGTGACTTCGACATGCGTTCATATGACAGACAGTTATAATCACCTTTTTCCCAGCTAGTACGGGCTACTTGGTATCTAGTTACTATAGAATCTACCCATTGGTCTTTCTGAGCATTATACCACTCATGGCGATCCATATATAAAGTCTCTTCCAAAACGTCTGTTTCACGTTTTACTCTTATTACTCTGACTGAAGTAATGTTCGAATTCTCCATCACAATCATCAATTCATTTCCACGAAAGAATGAATCCATATCCGTATCATCGACATTCAGGCTGATTTGACCACTGGCACATGCAGCAAAACCCAAAATGTAGGTCGGCGTAACTTCTTTTTTGACGCTATAAGGAACACTCAAGTCGTCCCACATTGGATTTAGGACCGGTAACCCTGCCTCAGTCATGGCTGCTGTATGATAAAGCTCCGAACATGTATAATTACCCTCGCCTTTTGATTCGACTTTGGCATTCATTTCCACAAGCCAGCGTTCGACGATAATTCTACCCAATCCATAGCCGAGAGGATGTGCAGGAATATAACCACCAGACCATAATACTGTTTTATCTGGCGGAGCGCCGATTCCACCGGATGCCAGCGCTTTTTCTGCAAATTCAATAGTATAGAATTTAGCCTTCTCCTCCGTAGTATAGTTACGCGGATAGATATGTGTAAGAGTGAGAGCGAAACGTGTCTTCTTAAATGTATCGGGAAGCTTATCCGGACTTATTGTCGAATAATCATAAGGTCTATGATCATAACCACTCAAATGTAGTCCGTTACTTTTTGCAACAACATTATCAAGAATTAATGAATTGGACATTAGTCTAGTATTCGAGCGAATGGCCGAAATTGTTGTTGTTGTTGACCGACAATATATACATGTAAAAAACAGACGTGTTCCAGGTTTTTTTCTTGCTGGAAATATTGTTCGTTCTCTTTTGACCTTTATACTGACTGCTCTAATTCTTCTGTTTTTTTGCACTGAATGGTGCTTATTCACTTTACAATGACTATAATTTTTGTCTCATTATCCATTCGTACGTTATTTATTAGTTATTTCAAACTGCGTCATGCATCCACAGTTTAATTACGCTGTTCTATTGGTCAACCCTCATCGTATCATCTTCCAAGTACAATCCTCACCAGTGTCGCATTTAATTATTCGCACGTATTTGAATTCTCTCACAAAAACACTCGATGATTTGCTACACTTAACCAATGATCAATATATGAAGCTGGTAGAAAAATGATCACACTAGATAAGTAATTCAAATACGCCGTCAATCTACAGTTCATCGAATTTGGGAGATGTCTCTGCCAGTAAGGCTCAGTCAAACAGATGATAAAAGTGATACTTGAACGACATTTATCTTCTGATAAAAACACTCTGTTCTCAACACGTTTGTGTCTCTCTCCTGCTATTGTATGTTCATCTCGATCGGCGCTACCACCACAAATGTCAAGTCAAACCTCATCGCAAACGGATAGTCGCATTGCGTCTAGTCATACTGATCCACACCAGTTCAACAGAACCGAAAACCACGGTTTCTCCTCCAACATCTGCATCAACTAGTCCTCATAAATCATTACGTGGACTTAGCGATAATGATTCCTCTCTTACTATTAAAGACTACTCAACCCTTACTACTCAACAAAATCCATATGATGCTCTATATGGCTTTCCAGGAAATCGGATGCGTTTCCGGAAATCGAATGGGTTTCCAGGAAATCGGATGCGTTTCCGGAAATCAAACGAGTTTCCAGGAAACCAAACTAGTTCAAACACACACACAAAATGTATATACCAGACACATGTTCAGGATTAATCGTATACAGCTCGGGGG